TGTCTCCCGGCGGCGGTGGGCGTGGCCTCGCTGGTGCCGCAGGAGGGCGGGGCTGGAGGGGAAGGGGCGGGCGCAGACGAAGCAGACGAAGAGCGCCCCCCGCAGGGCGGCGGCGGCGAAGTCCCGCGGGTGCTGGCGCTTGGCGTGACGCGCTGCGAAGGCGGCGTCGGGGAACGTGATGAGGCAGCGGCGGCACTGGGTGGAGCCCGGCAGGTCTGGGGGAGGGGCCTGACGTCATGGGACACGCCCAGGATGGGGTACACCCCTCCCCCCACTCGGGGGCACCCCAACAGGGACCCTACAGGACCCATAGACACCCCACAGAGACCCCATGGGACCCAGAGAGACCCCACAGAAGGTGATGAGGCAGCGGCGGCGCTGGGGGGAGCCCGGCAGGTCTGGGGGAGGGGCCTGACGTCATGGGACACGCCCACAGTGAGACACGCCCACCCACAGCCACCCCATGGGACCCATAGGGACCCTACAGGGACCCATAGAGACCCTACAAGGACCACACTTGACCCATGGAGACACCATAGAGAACCTACAGCGACCCATAGACACCCCACAGAGACCCCACGGGACCCATAGAGACCCCAGAGGAGACCAAAGTGCCCCATAGACACCCCACAGGACCCATAGAGACTCAACAGGGACCCATAGAGACCCCATGGGACCCATAGAGACCCATAGACACCCCACAGGACCCATAGAGACTCAACAGGGACCCATAGAGACCCCATGGGACTCATAGAGAGCACATAGAGAACCTAAAGTGACCCATAGAGACCCCACAGGGACCCATAGAGGCCCATGGGACCCATAGGGACCCCACTGGACCCCACAGGACCCATAGAGACCCCACTGGACCCATAGAGACCCCATGGGACCCATAGACACCCTACAGAAACCTCACTGGATCCATAGAGACCCATAGAGACCCCATGGGACCCATAGAGTCCCCCCAGGGACCCCATGGGACCCACAGGACCTATAGAGACCCCATGGGATCCATAGAGACATCACAGGGACCCATAGACACCCTACAGGACCCATAGAGACCCTACAGAGACCCATAGAGACCCCATGGGACCCATAGAGACCCCACAGGACCCATAGAGACCCCACAGAGACCCTACAGGGACCATAGAGACCTCACTGGACCCTATGGGACCCATAGAGAGCACATAGAGACCCTACAGGGACCCATAGAGACCCCATGGGACCCATAGACACCCCACTGGACCCATGGGACCCATAGAGACCCATAGAGAGCCCATGGGACCCATAGAGACTCCACGGGACCCATAGAGACCCACAGAGTTCCCCACGGGGAACGTGATGAGGCAGCGGCGGACCCCACAGGACCCATAGAGACCCTAAAGTGACCCACAGAGACCCCACAGAGACCCCACAGAGACCCATAGAGACCCCATGGAATCCAGAGAGAACCCACGGGACCCATAGAGACCTCATTGGATCCACAGAGACCCACAGAGACCCCATGGGACCCACAGAGACCCACAGAGTTCCCCACGGGGAACGTGATGAGGCAGCGGCGGCGCTGGGGGGAGCCCGGCAGGTCTGGGGGGAGGGGCCTGACGTCATGGGACACGCCCATCAGGAGACACACCCACCCCATGGGACCCATAGAGACCTCACAGAGACCCCATAGAGACCCACAGAGAGCACATAGAGACTCCACAGGGACCCATAGAGAGGACACAGAGACCCACAGAGACCCCATGGGACCCACAGAGACCCCACAGGGACCCATAGAGACCCCACAGGGACCTACAGAGACCCCATGGGACCCACAGAGACCCCATGGGACCCATAGAGACTTCACTGGATCCATAGAGACCCATAGACACACTGCAGGACCCACAGAGACCCCACAGGGACCCACAGAGACCCTACAGGGACCCACAGAGACCCTACAGAGACCCCATAGGACCCCCAGCGACCCATGGGACCCCCAACCCCCACCCCAGGGCCCTATAGCGCCCACAGGGACCCACAGAGACCCACAGCCACCCACAGGACCCATAGAGACCCTACAGAGACCTACAGAGACCCACAGGACCCATAGAGACCCCATGGGACCCATAGAGACTTCACTGGACCCATAGAGACCCATAGACACACTGCAGGACCCATAGAGACCCCACAGGGACCCACAGA